CCCCCCCCCCCCCACACACACACACTCCTCACCGGGTATTCCCGCCCCCGACTAACCCCCCCGTGCTCAGGCGAGTCCCTCGGCCGTGCGCCGCCTTCGCCGCGGCCGCCGCCCTCGCGGCCTCCTCCTCGGCCCTAGCCTTGGCCGCCGCCTCCCTCGCCTCTCGCGCGTAGTGGGCGTTGAGCTCGGCCCGTCTCTTCTTCATCTGCGCCTTCAGGCTGCGGGCGTACGTAAGAGAGTGGAGTGCGTCCAAAAACGAAATCAAATCGTCGTTGAAGCGGTTTTGTTGGAAGAACAGAGCACTACACACAAAGAGGGGGGAGGCACGCGAGGATAAATCGGAACACGGGAGGGCGGAAGAGAAAGACGAGCAGCAGCAGGTGAGCGGGGGGATTCTGCTGCATTCTAGGGGACGGTGCGCATAACAGTAGCCGCGGGTTGGTATTCTTTCGGGCGCTGCTGCAGCGACGAGAGGGCGACGAGAGAGAGAGAGAGAGACAGAGGGAGAAGAGGGAGAAGAGGGAGAGAGATAGAGATAGAGATAGAAACATATACTAGATAGAGAGAACGGAAGCCTGCTTGGTGCACTGCCACGGCGAGACACCCAAAACAACAACGTCCCGGACGCGGCAGCAGTATTAGCAGTATCAGCAGCAGCAACTCACATGCTCTCCCTCTCCTCCTCCAGTACCTGCTCGTGGTAGCAGCTCAGTGCCGCTGAGGGACACCGGTAGCACGCCGCGAACCCAAACTCTTCAAATACCACCTGCAGCAGCAGCAGCAGCAGCAGGTGACAGATCGCCAGCAAAGCCCAGCCTAGCCACGCCCGGCGGAGTCCCCAAACACGGTACATAGTGTCGATCATGGTTTCCAACAGGCCGTCGACGATGGATGCGATAGTCAAGGACCAAAATCAAGGACACCCGCTATTCACGTGTTGGCCTTGCTCGGATGCCAAGCGGGCGTGAGCAGCGTAGTCGCTCAACTTCTAGAATGGCGGGAAAAGTGAAAAGTTTACAGCTATGAAAAGGGTACCGCCCTCACAGGGGATGCCACCCGTTAATGCAAAATGTGATACGGGGTGACAGCAGTTACCGCTCGAACGTCGACCAACACAAAGAACTCAAAGGTGAGAGGAAGGATTACGTGACACAATGTGCCACACCCGATGCAGAATACCGCATTGCCCGTACTGCCCGTCTTCATACTTCTCAACACTCCGATGCCATGTCCGGGGTTGGATTTTCGCTTCTGCTGCCGTCATGGCGTCCGATCCAACGAGCAGCCAAGAGCACAATAGCTAAATGCACACACACCTCCGCGGTGTGTTAGCGCGAAAACAACTCCTTAAACACACGGTACAACGTCGTCTCTCTGAAAACAACGCAAACATGAACAAAAAAAAACAAACAGCACCAATCTGCTTTCTAGATGCAATCGCGGCCTTTCCCCCTGCATTAATACGACAACTATCCTTGCGACCGTGGTTAATCTCGAACGGGTGGCTTGCTGTGATTGCATGGTGAATGTTCTAAGATCCTTTCCTCCTCTGTACGAACTCCCCCCGCCCTATGGTTGTTGAAACCGTCAAGTCTAGGTCGCACCTCGTTGGCCGCTTCCTGCAGAACGAGGGGACCGAAGGGGGCCTCGGTGGCAAGGAGGCGGCTGTCGCGAGGGTCGGCGTTCAGGAAATTTCGTCCGAGCATGCGTCGCCACACCTGACGAGGTTTCGGCGATCGAAAACGGTGTTAATGGTATTATTGTTGTTGCGTTCGCTGTTATGGTTGGTGGGTGATGGTGGTGGTGTTTTCACACTAAAACACCGGCGTGATTCCCCATCCCAGGACGTTTTGCCATATTTGTGGACTGCTTCTGACGGTACGAAAAAAAAAAACAAGACCGGGGTCACGGGCTGTACGATAAACCCGGTGATGGCTTCCAAACAATAGCACCAAGAAGATAATAGCAGCAGCAGCAGCAGCAGCTGCCGCCACCACAGACAAATCCGCCGCCGCAAACTACACAGGTTTCGCGATATCTACAGGCTGCGTGTGCCGCCCACCCGCCCTGGCGATATAAGGGGGGCGTGACACAAGCGACGTTACCAGTCCAATTTTTGACCTTGACATGAACTTGTCCCTGCACCTATTTGGTCAATTAAGGCACCCCTTGAACGCTCTTCCTTCTTTCAACATTCCGTACACACGTCGAGACCCTCCATATTCCTGTGGTTCGATTCCATTCTCCCCTCTCGGCGAAAGCAACAGAATATCTTCTGGTCGAACCCGCACCTCGAACTCGGGCTCCCAGTTGGTGATGTACCCGCGGTCGAACGGTCTCAGGATCGATATCGGCGCCGAGTCTCTCGCCGCGTGCGCTGTCTCGTCTCCGACCACCATCTGATTTTGGTGTTGTTCCGAGAAACGCCAAAGAGAGAACGCGGTGTCGGAGCATGGCTACAGACAAGATGTTGACATAAAATGATACTCCACCCTTTTGACGCCAGGCGAGCTCAAGGCTGCATCGCATTGTACGCATACATTCAGACGACGACGACGACGGGGGGTCCGGGCAGCTTGTTTCACCTTAGGGTCTCCGGGAGATGGCTTTTGGTGATCAACATGCACAACCCCGAAGCAAAAACAGTGTAGGCCCCTGCCCGTGACGCGAAAAAGAAAACGGCTCTTTTGCAGCTGTCGTTGAACACACAGGTACCCAGCAGTATAAGGTAGCGATCCATGTTATTTCGGCCTCTTACCAAACGTGTGAGGCTCAATACAGAAGTGAAGATAACAGAGATAACTGTTGTTTCGTTGTCGGCGGGGGTGCGGAGAGGAAGTTGTCCTCTGCTACGCAGGAGTCGGCCGCTAGGGAGCGTGCTCTGTACGCATGCTACAGGGCAGTACTGAGATCTTGATATGCGGTCGTCGAATTGATGCCTTCACACCTGGACTTCACCACGTGGAACATACATGCAACACAAGCTGTCGGCAACCCAACGAAGCAAGAAATAGTTGAAATCATGAAACGTTACATCGGGAGGGTGGGGCGTGCGAAGTATGCACGTCCGAACACATTGCACATGACAAGTGGCGGAATGACGCAAGACACAACACCCCCATACACGTACACAGCAAAATTTACAGATGCACCCCAAGATGAGAGCAGCTCAAGTCACACTGCTATACCGGCTGCAGCCATCTAAAGATAACTAAAGAAAGCAAAACAATGTTCGCACGCAGCACCTGAGCCTGTCCTTTGATCCTGCCAGTGCAGTTGGGCATGGTGTGGGAAGGTCGGAGCTGCCCTGCTATGCCAGCCTTCAAACCACCTGCCCCATTGTCAAACACCAGCGTTTTCGACATCGTAGACGCGGACTCTCGTGAGCCGGTGCGAGCTGCATACGTGGGGTTGTTGTCTGTGTCTTGTGGTACTGCAAGAAGCAACAGGTGAGAGAGGTGTAGGTGTTGATCCAGGTGCCCACGGCGTGGCGGCGACAGCGAAGCACGAGGCAGGGGGGGTACTTGTCCTAATGATGATGACACGGAGCCTCCAGGCCTGTGGGGTATATTGATTGGTGTAGCGTGTCAGCAAGAAACGCGCAGATTGGCTTCCGTGGTGAAGTGTATGTCGTGGTCGACGTTTCAGTCGAGGTGTGTGGCCACTCAGGTTGTATCAGAAGCCAGCTATGACACGGCGGATCTGAACAAGGCAGAGTTCTGTCCTCCCCGGGTCGCCAGTCACCAAATAACAAGAGAGGAGAGGTCTAAAGGAGACAGTTAAAATCCTAGCGCCCATCATACCGGCGTACACCAAAGAAGCAAGGGATGCCTATAGTCTACTTCAGAATGCCGGCTTCGGGATGACGCCAACGGGATCAGGGGGGAATTCATGAGAGATTATTTGTAGCAGCAACGGGTTTCGACAGCGGAAAATCTGTAGTCTACATCGATGCGGGCGTGCACAGCAGTAGTAGTTCGACGTTACATGTGTGAACCTGCATAGTCTCAATGAGTGGCGAGAAAATCGTGCTCTTCTGTCCTCGTCGACGGGGATTTCTTTGGGGCAGCATACGGAAGGAGACGCGAGCCCCTTAAGCCTTTTTGTAGTGGAACCTGTCCGTCGTTGTTGTCCCAGCTCCGACCACGACGGCGGTAGTCTGGCAGCGGGCACAGTGCAACTTTGCGCCACATGCGGCTGTGGACAATGGTATGACGTTGTTCTGAGACTGAAGGCGGGTCTGGAATTGAAATCGTTTGTACCTGGAAGAACAACTGATTCTGCAGGCCACGTCTTCCGCTGCGGTAATAGTGTAGTCTAGTCATAAAACCTGCTCGATTAGAATAGTTCTTGACGAAGACTCGTCTACACTCGTTGGAGTGATCGGAGGGTACAAGACAGCAACAACAGGACCTCCCCGCTTGGCTCTGTTGATGTGCCTGTCTCCACGTGGCAGGAAGGGTCGTTGCTCATTTGGTTAAATTGGATTGACTTCATTGATAACTTCCTGATGCCCCGAGGAAAATGAAAGAATACCAACCTAGCAGAGCATGTTTCCCGCCGGCACCTTCCAGGGGTTTCATAAACGTGTCCATAAAAGTCCTCTCTCTCGCTAACCCCTCCAAGCAGCAGCCGAGGGCTCTCTTCCCTCCGGTGAAGGTAACACATGTCACTGCACGCTGTAGGTTCCGATGATGAAGTCCCCCAAATGGTACCCTTTCCTTTTCTGCTCCTCACTACTGCAACCTTACCGTCTAATGGACTCGGTCCTCTCCTTTCCTCCACCCGTAGAAAGTAAAAGGGGCGGATGGGTGGGAACATACGCGACTTGTTTGAGCTCCCTTTGAGGCCGGTAAACCACCAGAATCTTTTCTATGTGTGTACCTTTGCTCGTTGTCTTTGCCCAACTCTCTCTGGCACACTGCTGTAGGGCTCTTAGTGTGAGTACAACATTCGACAGATGTAGCACTCAAACTTTTTCTTCGGTTCGAGGGTCCCCGTTCTACGTATTACTTTTCCCGTGTGCCCCAATAGAAACGCCATGACACCTCCAACGGTTTCGAACAAGATCGGTCTCCAATTGTCTACGAATTCAACACTCCTGCCACAAAACGTCTCAGAGCCGTAGTGCAAAATTTCTTCTCTCGTTCGAGAGGTCTCGTACTACGTGATGTTCCTCGCATCCCCCAAAGAGAACGCCATGGCAATTCCGAGGGCTTCAATAAACATCGATTGTTTTGTATACGCCTTCAACAAGCCTCCCTTTATGCCAGACACAAGCATTTTATCACAACGTCCTGTATCATGAACAACATCTGGGTGCTAATCGGCGTTGCTGTGCATTCCAACTATCCATCGTTTCTCTTCTAGACTATACTTTGTCCTAAATAATACTTTCGCACCGTGGTTCTTCAGCATGCTTGTCCAGGAAGCATTGAAATGCTGGACCCTAGGGCGCGATCAACAATGTATTCGATATTTTATTACACAATTGATAGGCCGTGTTCTTCTTTCGTCATTTCTTGAGGAAAGGAAAACAGCACAGACTAAGTTCTTGTTTTTTGGTGGTATCGCGTTCTTAGCTGCCCTCTTTTCCAACGTCCTCATCCCTGTCGCCGTTGGCACCCGAGGCACGGTCGTCGTGCTGTTCCCCTGCACGCAGCCTGCGGATAGTTTCCTTGAGCCGCGATACCTCTTCCCCATCCTACAGCAGCAGCAGCAGCAGCAGGAGCAGCAGCAGCAGCAGCAGCAGCCGTACCGCAAGACAGGGTAGAAACGTGGAGCGAAAAGATAGCGACTGCGATCGATACGTGCCCACTGATGTACACATGCAGTAACCTAGATACGATCCTGCAGGTGAACTCCACGGGGTTGCAAACACGGTGTTGCGACGTATCCCCTGACGAAAGTCAGCTTTCATGAAGTGCGTACGATGTTTCGGGGTTCGAAATAGCTTGGGATGCAAATTACCACGATACCCGCAAGAGAAGGAAATAGCAGGAATGCATGACGCTAAGACCTGTGTGAATTCTACCAACGCCGCCGATGGCCCCTTCATGGCAGAAAGGCAGCCAAGATGTTGGGTGGCTAGACGCGTATGGGACGGGCCTAGGAAATCAGTTGAGCGGTGTTGTCGTCGATGCCGGTGACCGGCGGTACTCCAACAGATACCTTGATGTCGAACGAATCGGCCGGGGCATATGCATGCACGTACACGAAAATGGCATGGAAAGACCACCATCCACTCTCGGCGATGCTCGTTTGTTATTCTTCGCACGGATTCGATGCATCAAAGTGTGCACGGGTGATACCGAGCGCGGGGTGAACAGTTGCCCACCTGCTGCTTCTCGGCGGTGTTCGTGATTAGTTTCACGCGAGTGGCGTACGTTAGAGCCGTCACGGTTTCGTCCTGGTTGTAGTCCGCCGGCGAGATGTTGACGAACATGAGCGTCTTGGCGTTGCCACCCAAGGAGTCTTGCATCACCTGTTTGTTTTCCATGCCACGTGGAGGATCACAAGAAATTATGTGTTAACATGAGACCCGATGCAGTCACACGACACGACCGAATTAGCAACACTCTTACCGAGTGCAGGATTTCGTTTCAAGGCGGTGGTACTTCGCAGTCTCCAGTGTGGCCCCTTCCCCGCGTCCCTCGGGTGCCATCCCATTTCTCCTCCCTCTATTTTTCTCCTTCCTCTATATTTCTGCATCTGCAAGTCATCACGCCTTTCTTGCATCTGCAATTCACCACACCCGCGTTGTCCCGGAAGAGGGCAAATCTGATATGTTACGCTTCCGCGACACCAAGTGGCGTGGGTACCATGTTTTCAAAGGCTGAAAGAAGCTGCGCCGCCGGAGTGATATCGCCCCCCAGAAAGGTTCTCGAACATCTCGACTTCTGTGATCGAAATCAGAAACTCACCTGGGTGAGTTTGTTGTTCCTGTATGGGATGAATTTTTCGTTCCTGGAAAGCGCCGAGATCACGTCCCCCAATGCTGACAAAGATTTGTTAATGCTCTGGGCCTCCTTCAGGCGGTCCGCGGTGGCCCCCGTCTTGTCGGCCCTCTCTGAGCCCGCGAGATCCACCAGCGACAGCTTGCCGGTTGTCGTTTTCTTGGAAGCCTTGTTGTACACCTGATTGTGGTCGTCCCGGCGTACAGCGAGCAGGGTTGAACTCAGCAAGTTACACCACTTGGGCTGGCACTGCTTGGAACCAGCGGGCAAAACTAAGCCATGTAACGTACTCGTGATGGAGAGTGGGCATACGGATCACCCGTGCGGAGGTGAGTGAAGCTACGAGAGTAGGCGCATTGTATCGCGAGGGAGATCCGAGGGAGAGGAGGTTGGCTTGGGCTGCTCATACTCTCTGTCTCCTACTTTGGTTTTTCAAAAACATCCTTGAAAAATCATCGGAGAGCTTCCGCGAAAATTCGGTTTTCGATATCTGGCGAAGTTAATTACCTCGAGAAGGACGCTGAAAACGGAGTGAGAGCGGCTGGACTCTGCGTTCATCTTCGTGCCGCCGACCTTGCGCTGGTGGTTCCCCGAGGTGAACAGGTGCATCAGCTCACTCGCGTCACGCGCCTCCTGCTCGTCCATGGCGTGTGTGGGAGCAAGCGGGGAGTGGTGTTGCCGAAGTTCACGCGTTTGGCACGGAATTAGCTTTGGCAGCCATCATCCCAACTTGGTGCGCTACAGTAGGGAGGAGGCGACGGCGATTTCCGCTAGTGAAAACTCTGGTGAAGTTCGGATCATCTTCCCATTGTACCGCCTAGGAAGCAGACTAGTGAATCAGCGAGAAGTGCCCCCCCACCTTGACCACCACGTTCTTGACGACAACCATCTTGTTGCTATCCATGTGGATCTCTAGCCTCGGCGGGGTCCCTGTTGGGTGGTCCATCGCGAACAGAAGGTCTCGAAGATTGTCGAGGTACAGCTCGATGAAATAGCACGACACTTTGACCTGAAGCGCAGAGTGCATGGCACGATGTGTCCGTTCGCGTAGTGTCTTCCAAGGTTCTTTGTGATCGCACAAAAGTCTTCGGATCATGACCCCAAAAAATCCAAAATGACCCATTGTTGTCCGGAAAATATATCTTTGACAGGCACAGTTTTGGGGTGTGACATCTTCGACCCCTTGCTAACACATGCTGTACGTACTAACCCAGTGAAACGCGGAGCTCTACACCTCACCCATGGCCAGAACTCGAGTACAGTCGGTTTGATATGTATCACGGTGGTCCTCGTGGGATAATTCGCTCCATGCGTGCACAAGTCGAGATGGGAACTCTGCGTAAAGTAAAGGTACCAATTTTCCTCACCTAGACTACATCTATACCCACGCGACAAAATAGCAGGTGACACACCACGGCCCATGCGGAAGTAATGTTGCAACGACGGTACGGAATACAATCTGCGGCTGTTTGTTGGGAGGGCGTATTTCTTCTTTGCGAATACAGCGAGAGGGTGGAAGACTGTGATATTTTCAGCTACTGTAACTCGTTTTTGTTGCTGGCCATACCTCGAGAGCGCCCTTGGCCTTTTCAATGTTTCCAAATATCTCCTCGATTGCCCTCGGTGTGAGACCGCGCTGATCTCCTTTGCCTCCGGTCATCGTCCACGTCTTGCCCGAGCCGGTCTGACCGTACGCAAACACGCAAACGTTAAAGCTGACAAAGAAGAGCATCGTCGCGGCCAAAGGAAGGGCGGGAACCGTGAAGGGGGGTGGTCGAGGTGTTGGTTCCTAGCAATCTGAAATCACGGCGAAGAAGGTGAATATGCTGGATGACCAGTATTTATCAAGAGCAGGGAATCAGCGAAGAGCTAAAAGACGGTGAGCACTGATAATTTCAATGTGTCATGCCAACCGGTTGCCCAGATCGAGTATTTTTGCAGTTGGCGCCAGCGTTGTGAGGTGCGTTCGAGGTATTACGCACTACTATCAAGTCGTGAAAAACAGTGAACGATTTTCGATGGGCGTAGAACGTCATCCAAATCGTCTTGAGGCGCCTCCCGGATCTTCAATGTAGACTAAATATGTGCATACGGTGGATGGTTGCGAGGCCAAAGGTTTGATGCCTGCCTTCGCGAAGTGTGTACCACTTTCCTCAAATATTGGGTCTATCCAGAGGGTGCGAGCAACATCGATACAACGATTGACGCTCGTTTAATCTGAACTATCCACTTATTGCTCGGGTTGTTTGAGTGTCGTGCCTGATGAGCCAGCGTCGAAGTGAGTTAGCGGGTTTTCAGAGAAAGCAATTCTGACCGCATCATCCTGGAATGGTTGGAGTAGCTGAGATGATTTTTTGACGCCACTGTAGCCACAACGAGACATTCAAGAGCAGGTGTTCCCCGTGTGAAAACGTCAGGCAACCTCACCCATCGAGAGCAGACTGGACAAGATTTCTCGTGTCCTCGAAGATGGCCGCCTGCCCGTGCTCTTCGGAGAACACCGAGTCGAAAACGAACTGTTTCGCCCCGTGATGACCGTCCACTTCGACTGTCGAATCGTCCACAAAACGTACAGCCCGTTTGCAGTCTTGGTTTAACTCGTACCTGTTTGGTTTGGTGCCGCGCACGCATGTCGACGGGTATCAATGACACCAATATTGGTACACATCTGATTGTACGATCGGCGCCGATAGTAGGTGAGGAAGAGAACATCAGGGCTTCCGGGTGTTGCACAAGCGCACGATCCCAACAGCAAGAGGCGCTTGGAATATAAGTCTACAGCGGGAATACATGAAGAAAAATCGCCCGTTCGAACACAAGCGCTGCAACGAGAGCGTTGTGTCAACTAATGCTCTACCTTGTTTAGTGCATAGAGAAGAACATCCATTTGGAGGGAATGGGGAAGACTTTTTGGGCACGGCAAACTGAAACTGAACTCACACTTGAAACTGATTGATACCAACGCAATATGATGAAAAGAGACGGCGATAATCTGGTGAGCGGACTGCATGAACAGAGAGGGCGCAACACTACATGGAGTTCATGGAGGAAGAGATTGTCGGTCGGTCGTGCGGGGCATCGGCATGCCCTGTTCTGTACTCACTGAGCCAAGGGCCTGCATCGCGCGAACACCCTGATCTTGCCCTTCATGTCCTCCATCATGTTCCAGTACTTCTTCCGCAACGACTGTAAGCGAGAAAGGCAACAGGTTGGTCCGATACAGGAAAAGGTTGTGGAAAATATGAAAATTTCACTGGAGTGACATCGACACTGACTTCCTGCATAGTTGGCATTTGCTAAGGTACAAAACACAGAATCCGAAAGCACACTGTTGCGCACAGTTCAACATCGTCATTGATCTACATAACCTTGATTCACGTCCATGCGTTACCACACTCTGAGGAAAGCTCGAACGTGCTCTGTGAGCATGCTGGCCTCACGACTCAAGAGTTTCCGCCGAGGTTCACGCGATCGGGCATTTTTCGTCACCAATTACGGTTATACAGCCATACGATTCCACGCCCGGTGGCCGATCACGGCATTCCAACGGTAAAAGAGCCTCCAGCAATTTCCAGGTTCAAAATGTAGTGCGCTGTGTTGTCGGAGCCAGCTCTTGCCTGCTCTACTTGGAAGAGGCCCTCCAGGCGGCTGATGTTGGCCGTGGCCTCCTCCAGTTCCGATTCCAAACGTGTGGCGGCCTCAGCTCGAGTTCTCAGGACCTGCATCTCCTCACCCATGGTTCCCATCGAAGAGACCTTCCACGTACCACACGCAATTCGAAGAGTACGGAATGAATGATGTTCATTACACCATCAGCCGAGGGTTGGGAGGGGAATGCCTGAAGAAAGCTTTCGTCGTTTTACCTTCGAATATTGCCTGGCCCGCACTCGCACTCAGTGCCCTTTCACATTGATATAGTCTATCTCGAGTGTTGTGTGAACCTGTTCGTTCCCGGTTCCATATGTTTCACTGGCAGATGTTCGACCACTTCCCCTGTGGTAGCGCATGTTTGGATGAAGCAGCTTGTACCATGAATTATTTCGATTTTGGCGACATTCACGGTCCTTCCATTTTTATTGCGTACATGTATAAGGTCATTCCTTGGCGTACTAGACTATGACATTTCCCAATGCACCGTATAATGACATTATGTGAAGTAGAATGGAAAGTTCCTGTTTATCTCGGGTCCGCTCCCTGTTTGATGAATGATGCTTTCGCAGTCCTTCGTACCTGCTGGCTCAGGCCATCTCGTTCTTTCTTGAGCTGCTCGAGCTCATTCTTGCAGCTCTCCCAGCCCTTGACGGCCGCCTCGAGCTCAGCGCCGAGTTTCTGCGGTCATTCAGATCGACATTCGGTTCGTGCTGTTCAGAGGAGCGTCTCATTTCCTCAGTAGAGTGAAAGTGGCAATGGTCAAAGAGAGCTGCGGCATTCGAGCAAGCAATTTTGCTCTTCAAATCAAGTAGAACCAATGCCACTGGGAGCGCTGTACAGCAACACTACACAGACTTTCTTGGACCACGTCTTCGCTTCCACAATAGCTGAACGCTGTACGTCAACGATCCAGTAGATATCCAGGACGACTATTCAAGCGATAAGGAGCAACTCCCATTTTTGTCTGAAACTCAACCAACTGTGGAGACCACCTTCATAAAGGTTGAAACTCCCCAACGTCTGTCGAGGACGAAACCCTCTTTTCCACAATGGCGTCGACGAAGAGATGTCAGTGTGCCTGCTTTTGGTTGCAAAAGACACGGGTTCAAAACCCGCTGCTCACCAAATTTTCTTCCGGAGTACGGAAAAAGAAAAACGGTGGGTGGGCCAAGAAACGATGCACTGTCTATCGAAGTCGAAACTTCTGGCAATGCGTGGCGGAAGTGGCGCACCCGAACAAGCGCACAGAAGATTGTTGGAAAAAAGGTGGTTCTACTCGCCGCTAGCCGGTCGGGTTCCGGTTACCCCAAGAAGATTTCTCTTGCCTGGCAAACAAGAAGGAGCCTCGAAAAAGGGGGGGGTAATGTGGAGACCACCTTCATAAAGGTTGAAACTCCCCAACGTCTGTCGAGGACGAAACCTTCTTTTCCACACAACTCCCATTTTTGTCTAAACTCAACCTATTGATTATTGTATCTATTCCTTCGCTCACAGGTCCCACCCCTCCCCTACAATACTCGTCTCTTCCAGAAATAGAAGCCTTACTCGGTCTCGGGCAACACATCCTGCGATGCACCGCTCATGGATACGTCCGTCCGTGATCGTGCTAGTGGAGACGTACCACGTGCTTTCTGCTACTGCGCTGCTCGCTTACAACAACTCGTTAGGTTTTGAACTCCTACTGCAGCATGACTCCTGACCAAAGCACTAATCACTCGCTCTTACGCATACATAGTCCAAGTCGCTTCTGTTGGTATCCTCGTGTCTGGCGCTCGATGGCTGTTGACTGCGAGCTGCAGTTGGAATGAGTTCTCCGCTGTTCCGCTTGTCCATACTTCTCACAGGTTCGGATAACTTGCACTGTTGCAGTACTGTGGTCCTGGCCGGTAATATTTTCGGTGCTACGGGATCGACCGATTCACTCACCTTCCCGCTATCAAGGGTGTCGGTGTTGGCTTCTATTCTTCGTTGGAACATGATTTCAACAGCCTTCGATACTCTGCATCACGAGATATGTGCGGCGTCTAGGGTCCTCTGTTTATGCACGAGCCCCGTTGTTGTTCCCAGGGTTCATTTCAAATACCAGCGCCAGGCACATCGCCAGGCACATTGCTCTTTGCATCAAACGCACCTCAGTTTCCTTCTTCATCTTGGCCTCCATAGCTTTGACCTTTGCCTCTGCGGCCTGGGCTTCCGCTTTGGACGCCTTGCCATTCGCTGCGTTCGAAGCAGCTTTAAGCTTGACCACTTGCGCCTCAAGTTTCGTGACCTTTATTATGTTGGAGCATGTTGGCACCGGCATTTTGGAGGAACCAAAACGTAAACGTGCGAACAAATGAAAAAAGACAGGTTGAATTAATGAACCACACAACATGAACACTTCGGCAAGTCCATAACTTATAACGCTGGCACAATTTTGTGCGTCACGCTTCTACCGTACTATCAGGCCCATGATAGTGAAAGGAGACAGACTGAGTGTTTATTCTAGACACCATCGGTGCGCGGGATACATTGTGCATGCCTTAATTGTTTTCCGTACCCGGTCAACACCATCTTTGTTCTTCTGCTCCAAGGATTTGATCCTTAGCGCATCAGCCCGAGCTCGGGCAGACGACACGCCACTGCTTCCACCTTGTGGCGCTTTGCTGCCAATACCGTCGCTTCCTCCGGCTGGCGGCTTCTCGGCAAGCGCTTCGCGTAAAGCTTTGCACTCCACTGCGAAAAGGGAATAGTCGACGCCGTCTGTACGATAAACTTGCTAGATTTCTTCGCTCTCCGCATGTGAAACCCATATTCCTTTCAGTGGCCATGTTTTGGCTGCTTGGCCCCTTTTCCTTGTGAGAAATGAATCTAGTTGTCGGAAACGAGACGATGGAGAAGTTAGGCGAGATTTTTTCGTGTTCGACGTCTCAAGAGAACTATTAGTGTCCTGCTCTACACATGTTGGCAAATCTGCAAGTCAACTCCCACGGTTTTTGCACCTAGAGCTAGACTGTGAATGTTTACAAGCAAATGAGGTATTTTGCTTGTCGACCAGTGTGAAAGTCTTCCATTTGAATAGCGAGACGCGAAACCAGGGCGGGTAGGGACTCAACCTACTAGCCGGAAAAATGCTTCGTGGGGTTCACGATGAAGGAAGTCAACGAAGAGCAGACAGTCACAGCCACATCTACCCTGAACGTATATCCACACAGCCCCTTAGGCGACCCACCCTCCAGGCCATCGATCTTGTCTTCCATCTCCGTGCACCTCCGCGTGGCAACTTCCAACAAAGACGCACTCCCCTTGGCCTTTCCTTCTCCCTCTCCGTCTCCGCCGTCGTCGTCGTCGTCGTCATCGTCATCGTCGTCCGAGAACCCGCCTCCGGACAAAGCCGCGGCCGCCACCGCCGCTGCCGCCGACTCCTCCTGCCTCGCCGACAGCGCTTCGAGCTGCCGCTGCAGGGACGCCACCTTGGTCGCGCTGCCATCCTGCTTTGCCGCGTTCTCGTCGCCTTCGTCGGCGGAGGAAACGGAGGCAGCGAGCGCGTTCGCGATGGCGGCGGCGTTTTCTACCATATCGGCAGTCGTGTTCCCGGCAGCGGTGGTAGCAGCGGCGTTTCTCGCAGGCGAAACACTTCCGGAGGCGGAGGCGGAGGAAAGGGACGATGCTCCACCTCGGCTGCCGCGCCCGCGCCTCCCCGTTGCCGAAGATGCGCTGTTCCGATTGCTGCTTGAGCCGGATCTGCGTGCTTCGTTCCGCTGTTGCTCGAGGGTCCCCTTGGCAACCATCGCCGCTTCAATGACCGTGTCGAACGCTTTGCGGAGCGCTATCGCCGCCTTGGCTGGGTTGAGGCCCCTGAAAAACACCAAGCGCAGGGATGCACGACCCCGGAAAAAGAGGCATGGCTCATGACGAGAAAAAAGCTCCGCGAGGTAAGGTTCTGTAACACATGCGGTGGACTGTTCTTCAAGATTGTTGGTGCCGACTGTCGTACTCGGCGGGCAAAGGACTTTGGTCCACAATCCCAAAGGAACGACGAGCAGAGGACACACACCCATTTTTAGTTCATAGAAAACCCTACAACTGTCCCTACCACAACCCAGAGCGGCAATAAGCGGCAATCCATTTCTGGACGCTGGGTTCGACAACGACGTCTTGGTTCACTGTTACAAACGGTCATCAACTATGTGCTCTGCGTTCCGAAACGGCACTTACTTGGCCGCTGCTATAGCAACGCGAAGGTCGTCCACGGCCTGCCCCGGAGGCATCTGGGACACCGCGCGGCCACCGGCCTTGACGTACAGGGCGTGGCACTCCTCCCGGCGCTCCCTCTTCCAGAGCTCGGTGCCCTCCTTAATGGCGTGGACGAGAGTTGCGGCAGCCAGTCGCAGCTGCTCCGCGGTCCGCCTTCGAGACAGGTTTTTCGCCGAGTTGGGCCAGGATATGAATGAGGCATAACACCAGTATTCGTGGTCCTTCCGCACCGCACCGACCATGTCGGCCTTCTGTGCATTCCCTACATGCTGGCAGCAACCCTTGGGGTCCGTTTACCCGGCCTTTTAAGCGACAAAATTGACGAGGATCTACTACTTTTTCTAGCGGAACAAACATTGCGGGACCGATGGTGGCTCTACCAATACATTCTACTGGTTGAGCTGTCGTACTCCTTTCGGAATAATCTACGCTTGCCCGTGTGGCCGAGCGGGACACGGTCGATGAGCGGCCTGACGTCATGCACCAAATGCTTCGAGGCGCCCGCGTTGTTCGATGTGCAAGGTTCACCCTTAAACAATATAATGCCGCATGTATTGCGAACGAGCCTTGGTAGCAGTGGGAACAATGTGCAGGCCGTCTTTCAACGTACTGGAGTGGAGGAGTACCGAGCGATTTCCAAGCTGTATCTTTCCTGTCCATCACTTTGTTTCCCGGATGAATAGTTAGCATCAGTACTCGACGCATTTCTCTCAAGGAAAGTACGGTAGCATGTTTCGCCTCTTGCGTCCCAGGCCACGGTGCGACGCACCGGTTTCCTGACGCAGTTGGCGGTCGCCCCCCCGGCGCCCGCTGCGGTTTTGCCAGGGCCCCCGTTGTTGGGGCGGCAGAGGCCTGCCCGGCGTCTCGGCTGGCTCGCCTGAACTTGGCAGCGTTCAAGGCCGATTCCTGTCGGGCTTTGGCGGCCTCTTCCGCGTGTGCGGCCACGAGTTCCGTCGCAAGTGCAGCCCTTTGGGATACGGTGGCGGAGCGGACAGCGGTACGGTGTGGCGGTGAATCGATCGAGATCGCTGATGTAACATGTTGGGCGGATGACGAAACATGGAATGCTCACGTTTTTGCATCCTCGCGTGGAGTAGGGCATCGGAAGCTCGGCAACTGACAGGGAAGCAAGTTGAGGATTGCATTTTTTCTACGATACCGGTGGCATACGTTGTCATTCAAAGATTGCTCCGAAATAGATACATGTCATCCTCCAAGTGGAAACGAGACGGGCCCTGTGCGACCTGTCGGCTACGCCGCCACGGATTTTTCGGAGAGTAAGACTAGATTGGTATGACCCGGTAGGATAGTACGCACGTCTTTGTTGCTGCTCCTTGCTCTTTCTGCGCACCTTTCTTGCGCCATTTCCATTCCTCGGGATAAGGCTTCCTTCTCCTTTTCTAACAAGGCGACTGCTGAGACGAGGCCGGCCTCTCGCTTCCGCTGTTTCTCCTGCCTGACGCTGGTCATGTTGTGTTGGGGGCGAGCGTGCGCGTCTAAGTCCACATTCTGTTGCGATGATTTCGCCCGTTTATTTGTGCAGTCGGCCTCTACCTCAGTGTTGCTTATGGGAGCGATGTCGTGAAACGTTCAACTGTATTGACCATACTTGTCATTGATTTGGTTAGCCAGCAAAGGCGTGGGCAAGGAAGTGTAAATACAAGGGGGAACAATTCCGCGCTCGGGTTGGGATAGTCAACCCCGCCCGATGTATTTACCCACTTGCAACACACCTCGCTCGCTGTAGCTCATCGGCCATCCTCTCGGCCTCGCCTTTCGCGTCCTGCTCCCTCTCCCTCAGGTTCTGCAGCTCCTTCTCCGCGTTTTCGAGCTCCCGGGCTTTCCACTCCGCCGAAGAACGGCCATCGCCGCCATCGCCGACTTCGCCGACCCATGCTTTGACACTACCACTACGATCGATAACTTGCTTCGGGTCGGAGATGGTGTCAGTGGCGGCAACGGCGGCAGCTGCGGCTCCGACGGCGCTTGCGCCAAAGACGGTGATCTTTGTGGTTTCGAGGGCATCCGGCATTGGCGATGGTGGCGCTGCAGATCGTGCGGAATCGGCGGCACTGGCGACAGTAGCACCAGCAGCGGAGAGAGCTGTTGCCTTTGAAAGTTCTTCTTTCAGAGACCGCACCTGTGGTTCGAGGTCGATAGCAATGCGCAACGGTCTGGGAGCGTATTGTGACAAAGAACGGAAGAAAGACAAGAAATGAAATATGGAGAAGTTCTGGATAACGGTTGTTTCGAAACCTCGCATAAGGCTAGGCGAACACAGAGACCAACTAGTCGTTGAAGCATACACGGATGCGTGGTCAGGGTTAGTCTGTTGGGGACCGTCTTGCCTTCCGCTCCGCCTCTGAGCGGCCACGTTTAACGCCCGCCTGTAGCCCGCGCGCCTCGGCAGCCTCCGCCTCGCTCTCTGCGTTCGCAGCCGCGTCCCACCCTGCGGTGGCGGCTCTAGATTTAGCGTCGAGGTCGACTTTGAGTGCCTCCACCTTTCGATTGGCAACACCATTACGGAGATGGACACCAGAAGGGTTCGAAAAAGATAGAGGTCGAATGTTTAGCGAGATTCGTGTTGAGAAACAACGACACGGTCGTGTTGGTTTCTTGGCTGGATCGTACTGCCTCGGCCAGGCGTTCCTTTGGGTCGTATACCTAGAATTATACATCACAAGATCAACCAATTGAAACAGCGTGTAGTGCCTTGAACCTTGCATCTTTCGGCAGTCCACGCACCATCCTAACAAACTACCAGTGCGTTTACGTGGTAAACTATCCTCAACAAGGATGGATGGTACACCCAACGAAAAGGTTGTCTTCATGTACGGTAGCCCTTGATTGAGGGAACGATTGACCACTAGCCTGTCTTCTGCCACGCGCAGTAGGCAGTGATTGCTCGCCTGCTCTCGAAGCCGCGCCGCTTCGGAGGCCTCGTCCACAACGAGTTGACAGGCCTTGAGCTCTTCCCTAGCCGCCTCCAGCGCGAGCGAAGCCTGTTCGCGCAGGTGTTCCGATTTCTTCGATGCCAAGGCCGCATCGCGAGCCTCCTACAGGCGAGGCGGGGAAACGAATGGGATCGATAACGGTAGGAAGCACGCAGGTTTGATACTCGTCGTTGAGGGTTGAAGGATATAGTCTATTCTCCCGTGCCACCGCTGTGTGTCACTCGAACGCTCTCAGGTCAGGTTTGAAAGTTGACGCACGCTGATTGCGATGAATGCGGAAAACCTTGGGCGTACGATTTCGTCGTAAGGCTTCACCCAGCGTCCCTACGGATCAACGTCACGATTATCTTGTCTGTTCAGTCTTAAGCCACATCCCAGTGAGACACTTTTTGGTGAACTTGGCGAACCCGTTGAGCACATAGTGCGTGACTGAACACAGCCGCGCCCTCCCTCTCGCCTGCTGGGCGACCCGTAAGCTCTCCTCCAACTCCGCCTCCCTGATGCCCGTATCTTCCGCCGCCAAGGCCCTGTCTTTTTCGAGTCTTGAGATTGTCTGCTGGGCTGATTGCCCGTTCTCCTTCTGCTGAAAGGGAACCACCGACGCTGGGTCCGAGGAGGGGGATGGCGGTTCCAACGCAGTCGCGCTGTAATTCGCCTTGCCCAGCATCCTAAATCGGTTGATGATTTGTGCGTCGGTGTGGAGGAAGTGCAAGTGGATGGGCGGAAATAGAACGAGAGGATATGAAAAGGAGGACGGGGGACGTAGTTTTGGGCCCGACTTTCGATGAGAAAGGCAACCTCGTCAGCCCCAAACTAGATCGTTGGGTCCGAACATCTGAACGTTCCTCTCCCCTCCGAATGGACAATGTGGTGTTTCACTCACTTGACGGTTGTGTTGTTGAGCTCTCCTAACGCCGTCTTGAGCTGTGCTTTCCTCCTCTCGGACTCCTCCAGCTTTACCGTCAGCGAGGCATTCTCTTCGCGGAGCTTTTCGAGCATAGCTGTGGCTGCGGCGGCGTCGACGGCCGGCGTCGATGTGTCCCCGAAGCCGGTTCCGGCAGCGTGCCCACCGCCGAAGCCGGCCATAGCGGGAGTGGCAGGTGTGTTGGGCATGGGCATTGCTCCTCCGCCGCCCTCTGCCGCAAGATTATCATTTTTCTCGATTTCGGCCTGAACGAGGGCGTTGCGATTCGAGATGATGGAGGCGAGCAGCGCGAGGTTTGGAATGTAGTGCGCATTTATTCGCTTTCCCGACGGCAGCCGCAGGCAACAACTTTGGTGTCAGGCATGGCAACCGAGTGGCGGAGCGCAGTGGAGGTCGTGGCTTACCTCCAGTGCCTGAATGTCTTCCGCGAGCTTGGCTAACGCTTTCTCCATCTTTTTGTGCTCGACAAACTTATCCCGGATTGCCCCCTGGAGAAACGTTTCGGGGAGTCATTTACGTCAAGGCGGGGCGGGCAGGAGCGGCAGCAGGAACGAAACTACCGCGGGTATGTAAAGAAAGTCGACGTCGGAGTAGAAATTGATATAATCTATTGTTGATCGATTGAAAAATGAAAGCATTGTTTTATTATGAACGGGCTGCTTGGTTGTCCTTGTCAGTAGTAGGGAGTGAAACCTAATGTCCACATCGAGCTGTATCACCACCACCAGCTGTTACGATGCTAGTGCCATGAGGTTAGACAGCGTATCGCGTAAACCCGTTGCGTCGGCTACCGAATGCTCTTTTCTACGAAATACAAGTACATCCCTGTGTCTGTCCGGAGGCGGCGGCCTCAACGAAGTACCCAAAACCGTGAGCACGTGGATGCGTTGAGACTCGAGGCCACCAGGTGAGTAGCGATGTTGTTGTTATCAGCGTCGGAAGGGTGCGCAGGGTGCTGATCACGATTCGCCGGCTTTTCATGCTCCACTGCCGCTACTGCAGTCGAGTTTGGTCGTTGATTCACCTTTTCTTCGTTGCCGGCCGGCCTGCCCTCCCTTTCTTCGAAGTCTTTCAGCCATCCCTTGATTTCGGCCTTGGCCTATCGATGAACAGCAAAGTTGTCAAACGTTTACTTTCATATCGAATGCCTCTTCCTCGGTAGTGGCCACTGCTTTCGGAAAGAACTTCGTGATGAGGGCGCGATGCTGGTCGATCCACACTACCGTGGAAACTGTATGCCGCGGTAGTGAAAAAAACAATCTCACACGCCATTTTTCTCCCGCCGAGCACAAATACGGCAGTTGCGTTTGTCTCCAGATGATTGTTGTAAGGGTGTGGTCGAGCAGAGAATCTTGCGATGTCAAGTAGCGCACGCGTGTTTGTCCACGCACACATGCACACCTGGACAAGCTGCCATGGATATACCAAAATAGTGTGTGATCGATTGCTAGAACAACGTTTCGCGCGAGACAGCGCAATCACCGACACAGGATGATGGTTCAAACTTTGTTGGACATTGTTGGCAATTGCTTCACAGCATGCCTTCTTCTTCGCAGCCGTCGTGGCCTGAAGCTCCGCCTTGAGCTCCTCCAGCCTGAGAGCCTCCGAGCTTGGCTCCTTCTCAATCTTCAGACCAACACCGACACCAACAGGGGTCGCAATGCTCGCGCCTCCAGCCACAACCGCGGCCTCTGCCGAAGAAGCCGCCGATTCCTCCGCACCTAGCCCAGCTGCACCGACACCCGCCACGGCCGAGGTCGTCAGTGACGCCGTCGCAGTTACCGCCACAGTGGGCGTTGTCGTCGTGCCGGCAACCAACGGCGCGGCGGCGACAGAGGGCGCTAGTATATGCTTCTCTGCCCTGTGTGCCGCCGCACGAGCATCCGCCGCCTGTTGTTTAGCTGTCGCCAACTCCTCCGTGAGAGAGATAGCTCGAGCCTGCGTGTTGCGGTGGGTACCGCATGCGGGAGTGCATACGTATGATGTACATGGGAGGAAGTGAGGAAGAAAACAAATCTGCACGTCATCATGAGGGGCCGGGTGATTCACTTTTCCGGCATCATCTCGACAGTGTTTTCAAAAATCTGGGAAAGAGGACCTGTACACCAGCATTTCACGTTGTTAGAGAGACACAAACAAAAGACACCACCACAAGGGCCAATCTTCACACCCGATACCGTCCCCAGACTCGTACCTCTAGCTCCGCGACCCGCTGAATTGAAACTCCGAGCGCTTTCTTATCTTGTTCCGCCTCCTCACGCTTCTTCTGCTCTGCAACGGCGTCTTCTATCGCCTTCTCCATGGCCTTTCTCTCCTCCTCGACTTCTGCAGCTTCCTGTTCGTCAACCGTTTGCGCAGCTTCCGGTTCTCCTGCCTCCGGCTGCACCCCAGGCGTCTCCGATACGGCACCATCTGGTACCCTTGCGCCGCTGCTGGCGAGTGCCTCTGCATCATGGTGCAACTGCTCGACGTGAACCACGACGCCATGTTCAAAAGCGCAAGAAGAACTATGGAACTTGAGAAGGACCTATCGCTCGACCACGAAGCATTGGTCTATGATGCCTCAATGGAATGTTTTTGCCTAGGCAATCGAAACAAAGATGGCTCCCGCAGAGTCGAATGGCCAGGCGTGATGGCTTGCCTTTTTCCATCTAGTCTACCACTCGTAATTCTGGGTCCGACCAAGATGGTTCGGGTGTTGTCCATCTAAAATAGAAAAAATGATAGCCAGGAGCATCCCCGGATTTTAATCCGTTTAGAGAGGCACAAAATCGGTTCTCCTAGTCTAAGGGTTTCATGTCTTACACGAACCACGACGTAAGGTCTGCACGATGCCGAATCCCATGCTGTTTGACACATTTTTCCTTGCGGGGTTATTAAGGGTTTGCATTTCACCACTTCACTCCGCCACACACCTGTCGGACGGTGGCATGCTCTTTCTCCAGGAGGCTCGACAGGGCGGCCACCTTTGCAGCCGCTTCTCTCGCCTCGCGCCTCCGCCGGACAAGCTCCAGTGCCACCATGAAGCTTTGCGAAGATACCACGTAATATTCCGCCCGGGACGAGTTTGTTTTCGCCTCGAGCATGCCATTTTGGACAACACAAAATGGGTGCAGTCTATTCGGCAGGACAAACAGCAACAACAGTTTGTAGCGCTTGTTGTCCTGCTGTCTGGTCTATCCGGGCGTCGATTGGCTCCGTGAATTTGGGAGAGGCTGCACAGGGTATTCGGGGTTCGGTCGTTCTGCAATCCAATCAAGTAAGAAAAGTGCGTCAACCCTGCTATGGGAGAGCACGAAATCTCCCGATCATGAATTCGTGGAGCTCCCAGGGCAGAAGACGCTATCGTTTCGAAAACCACACGTTGGGATGGTGTCAGGTTCGTCCTTGTCAGGTGGAACTGGTGGTAGAACAGACGGACGCGATATGGCGTTCCAGAAGTTCTGAGTTTGCTAGGACCAAGGTCGACTCACTTGTTTTCGTCTTCTGCCATAGCTTCTGCCTGTTCCCGCTCCACACGCGTTCTGGCAGCTTCATCCGCATCGTCGCCCCCCTGATTGATCGCCCCCTGCTGCTGGCTCTGAACCATGTCTTCCTTCTCCACACCGGGTCCTGATGGCATCACCTTCTTGCTCATTTCCTGTTTTTTCATGGGGTGCCGATGTGTGAATAGGCAAGAGACTAAAGGAGGACATTCCATCCCATTCACCAATCCGACGGGTCATTTTCGCCCCGTGGTGAATGCTGCTCGCTGCAATGGAAGCCCGCAAGTCTTCTCCAACGTATTTCCTAAGCTTGGAATACCTAGAACAATGGTGCTACCCCCCTCCCCTGTACAGGCAGTATGTCTGGTCGAGATGTTTCCGAGGGATTTCCGAAATCACGATGTCCGGCGTACTGGAAGTTGTGCACGTACGCTAGTTCGCTCGAGGCAGCAAACAAACCGTGATGCACCGTCTCTTCACTACGCTGCGGCGAGTGATTCGGGCAGCAGCCCACGAAATACACGCAAGTCATGTTTTCTACCGTTCTCGACGGCACCTACCTCGAGCTCCATCTTCAATATGATGGCCTCTTCTCGAAGGATTTGGCCTTCCTTACTCAGCTGAGCGTTCTCATCTCGAAGGGACTGGGTGACGCTCATAGCCTAACCAAGATGTGCGCATGGAGAATCGTGGTTAGTGCGAAATCTTGAAGCGTGGAGAATGGAAAGTCATATTACATTGCAGTATTAGAAGGTGCACGTCAACCAGTCACGCAGGCCGGAGTTGGCTTAAGAGCGCAAAGATACTATCTCCATGTAACGCGGACAACCGTGGGGATCTACATCGAGTCTCTACCCCAAACGTTCCGGGGAAGCGGACGGGCTAATTGATCGAAGCATGAACACGCAAGGTAGCGACGATCTGAGCCGTCTTTCTCCGGGCATTTGATTCACGGATGGAATCCTCCCGGTCTGCTTTGCCTGCCTGGTCATTTGATTCTCGGGTGGAATCCTTCCCGTCTGCTTTGCTTGCCTGAGACAATTCTGTCCTTAGGAGGCCCTGCTCGCCCTTTGCGGTGGTCAGCCCCCTGTGCAGGTCTTCACGGCTGTGATGATGCTCCCTCTCCTCCACAGCCGAGACAACATTCTACGCAGCGCAACAACAATACGGGACCAGCGACGACACAGACGATTTTGACCGATGGTGAAGGACAGAAGTGTTTTTTCTTCGCGCGTTTGGTGGGTACGTGAGGCCAGCCGCGGGAACGGCAGTTTATTATTTGCGTAACAAACGTTCTTCGCTTTGAAGGCAGTCGTTCTATTCAACGGCCGGAGAAGCACTGCAAACGAATGCACTTTAACACTCACCGAAAGAACCAGAGCAACGGTTGTTCGCACGGCCTTGTCCTCGAGTTCTATCCTTTGGATGCTCCTTCGCCTCGCGTCTTCCGTTCTGTATTCGGCGTGCGTTGGGTTGAGGATGCGATTCTGGTACACAACAGTTGTTCGGGGTATTAGCATCCAACCTCTGCGGGATGAAAACCTTTGGCAGGGCGGACAGGCTACTGGTGGCCTCGTAGTCAACTCCTGCCTCAATACTGTGTCTGCAAGCTGTTTCCACAGTCGAAAAAGCTCCCACCTGTTGAAGCCGTCGTTCTTCACCATTCTGTCAACTTGTCGATCGCTGAAACGTTGACCGAGTCGCTTGACCAAACCACCCACACAATAAACGACCAAAGCATCGTGCTGATCGATCAATTCCAAAGGTCTTCTACCTCCGACACTAAATTGTACCAGTATGTGCATTACCCCTATAATGTGCCGTCGGGCGGTGGACAGGTTGGATGGAACAGCCAGCTTACCGGGGAAAGGTCCTCAGGCCGTCTTCAAACAAACGTCGTCAGCGCCTGTGAACGGGAGAGTTTTCTACATTGGCACACGTCTGTTGAACGGCACAGTCATGCCCACAACGGGTGACAGTCAACGCGTCCGAGTCCTTGACAACGACTGCGTGAGTATCCCTCAAGGGCAGGTACAGAAATGTGTCTCGTACAGGTTGAGAGCCGGGCCATTTCTGTGGCGTGTGGACCCACCGGCTCTGCACTGCAGCCTCCAACGCATGCTTCGCGGCACTCTGGGCCGTGCTCAGCACTCGCCGGCTCTCTTCTACCATGTTTTGCTTAACAGCGTTGAATTCGGCCACATCGCCCTCACGCATCAGTCGCTCCTTCTCCCGTTCTGCGGCAAATTCTTGTTCCTTAGCAGCAGCGGCGGCCTTGCGAAGCAGGGTTCCAAGAGAGAGGGAAAGCTCCGTTTTTTGGTGTGTACTCTAACTTGCAGAATCTGAAACTTGACGGGATATCTTCTCAAGCGGTGCGTCAACGCAAGCAAATGTTCATGTGCAATGTTCTTTCGTTAGGCGAAAAGAAGTTTGGCGAAAAGCAGCGCGTATGACATAAACGGGGAGGCAGATGCAAGGGGATCACTGCAACTACGTCTTTGGATCCGTACGCACCACTTGTGTCATCCATCTTGCGGGTTGGTCCGACGCACTACCCTCACCGTCTGCGAGGCAATCTTGTCCCTGAGATTCTCGACTAGCTCTTCTTGCGTCTTACTCTCCTTCGCCAGCCGGCGGAGCTCCGTTCGCATTTCCTGCTGAAGGCGCAGAATCAGGTCTGCGTAGTGCCTGCCAAAGAGAGAACGCGCAGCACGGCCAGACCATTCAGAGGGGTGCTCCTTGCGGTGCTCTCGCTAACACTGTAATTGAAGCAAACCCACCATACGCCAAGGTGCAATAGTGGGCCGGTACAGTCTTTGCAGAAGGTGCGTCACGCTTAAGACGCCTTTCTGCGGTGCACAATGATCGTGAAACACCGGCCTCTCCAACCCTACCTCGTTGTTCTTTGGTTGATCGCGCGGTACGTGGCGTCGAGAGTCACCACAACATTCTGGTGCCTTGTCTTGGTCTCTTCGGCGGTCGCCCCCGCCTGAGTTGCCGTCATTAACCACGCGCAGCCGACCAAGGTTACCGAACAACAACACTCGAGGGGAACGGACCTGTGTGATTGGACGAGGTCGACCAAGAGGTCATGTCGGCGCCAGCAGCTCAACGTATGGACGAAAGGCAATTTCCAAGAAGGGCTGGTTTGGTCACGAATTGGCTCTCCTACAGTCAAGGAAATTTTGATTTTTCGCGGATGCCCCGACTCTGTCAGACACTTTGTCTTTCGCCGGAAAAATCAGGGGAGGCCACTCTATTTGAGATAGCGCAACAAGCTCAAACGAAGGAAATCAATTTTTGGCGCCGCCGGTTATCAGGTTGGAACGATCGTCGCGGCTTCTGAAGATGGACCGATGAAATGGACGATGCTGAGGATTCAGCGGTGGGAGGTCCTGAAAGGCAAGCAGCCGGTTCCGACCGACCTGCATGTGCGGTCCTACTACATTCCGCAGCGTCCACAGTGCTTCAAACATGACTTTTTCTGCGCGTGCACCTGCTCAAGGATCTTCTCCGCACAGCCCATTGGCACGTACGTCGCCCTTGGCTGCTGCGTGATGTGATCCATGAACTTTTGCATCTCTTCCTGGGGAATCAAAGCGCGCCGTAGTTTGGAAAGGTGTTGGCTAAGGGCAACCCGCGAAGAGGTGGACTGCACTCACGGAGGAAGCGGATCATGAAAGCATGACGGCGAAGAGCGTCTGAGGGTCAAACTCGACAGCGGGCGGCACCATACAGGGGCTGTCTTGTGTTCGTCATGGATTCTATCTTGCACACCAGTGTCCCCATTTTATCTCGTCAGCCTCACAATAACGCCTCGCTAGTTCGGAAGTAATTTCCCGTATTAATCCTGTGGTCTCTCTACTATGGGCGGAAATCCCTACTGTAGTACCCACACCGAGTATTACTAACTACGTCTCCCCGCTCACATGTTTCTCAGATTTGATCCCGAGATCCTTGGAAGAACCCAACACCGCCGCCCCTGCGGAAGACGCAGAGATCCGGCGCTTGAACAACGCTTCCTTGGAGCTGGAGAGGGGTTTGATGTGGCCGAGAACCTTGCCCGATCCAATATCCAACATTGAGATTGTGGGTGTAGTGCAAATATTCGTCGAAATCAAAACACTGCCGGCGAGAGTATCTTGGAGCCTGTGGTCGTAGATCGTGTTTTCATCTACCGCACCGTTGATGCAGTTGGCACAGCACAGGGACTACAAAGGAAGCTTCGAGCTTCCCTGAGTTACACTCAACTGCGCATACGGTAACATAAACCATAGAAGCTTACCACTCGAACCCCGAGATCTCAGGCTTCGTGAATTAGCTGTGACTACGTTGTAAATGGATTAGGGGGCGTACTTGGAAGTGGCGTTCAAAGTACATAGTACCAATAGAATGGGCACATGAACAGCTTTGGAGCGATGCCCTGACCTTGGTTCGAAGCTACAGATAGTAGCCCACCCGAGAACTGCTGCCAGTTCTTATAATGGAATCCCTAATCCGAACCTGTTCAAGCTCATTGTCCGTCAAGGACTTTCTCG